TAAAAATGTTCCCCTCAGAAAGTCCCTGCTGGCGAGGTAGTCCCAGAGATGGTCTTATATATTAGTGCGTTGGTCTTGTGAATAAATGTTATATATTTGATGTTATATCGCTAGTAAAGGTGAAGTAGGACTGCATTGTTTGTGGAATGTGCTTTACTGCGGAAAAAAAATTAGAATATCTCTATTAGCTGCAAAGTACTAGTCACTGCAGGGCGCAAAAAAACCCTACATTTAAAGATTACACTAAAAACTTAATAACCCTCTGGGGACCAAGGTGTTTTTGGGGTCCTTGAGATGTTTTGACATGCCCTGACATTTGTGCTTTTTTCAGTTGCTTATAAACATATTACTGGCACAGGTGAAATTACACTCTATTTAGCACAAACAGGGCTACCATAATATGTAAGCAACATGTATGTACATGTTTGTATTTTTGAGAGAATATTGTTTATGCATGTTTATTGATAAAACTAAAAATTAAAGTTTCTGAAATAAGGCCACAAAACACATACCAAATATGTGTCCACAAGACTTTTGACTAATGGAAGTTGTGGCCTAGAGTATTTGCTTCAAAATGATCTGAAAATCATCCTTTCTAATCATTCACATAACACCATAGATTGCTTTAAATTGTGAAAAACATTTTTTTGTTTGAAAGGCAATATGCGAATGGGCGTGAACGGCCCAACCCCCTCATGTATAATTAGGTGATTCTCACCTGAGAAGACAAAGATGCATTCATTTCATTCAGGTGTGTCACAAAAAATAATGCAAGGAAAATATATATACATATATATACACACACAAACATATATATATATATATATATATATATATAAATAATCAAAATATAAATGAAAGTCAAAAGCACATTTTTAGTCATACCTGGAAACAAATCCTGTTCAAATAGGTTATATGGGCCATTCAATAGAATTGGTTCAAAGTTAGAGTTGGAAACATCTTGAAAAGAAAATGGTCTTTTTCCATAAATCTCTTATAAAGTATTATTTTTTAAAGTATGCGAATACATTTTTTATTATACATATTTCAAAGTTAAGGATTCATTATTTTGATATAGCCTAGCTGGAACAAACACTATAACAGTTGATAAGTTTATTTTTGACAAAACATACTATATATTTAACATATGAGCAGAAACTGCTAACAAAAGCTTATTTGATGTCTATTTTAGAGTTAAAACTTTATAATCGATCCTAAACTAGTCAAACACACACACACACAGAAACATGATTCAAATTTAAACAGTAGGCTATTTTTGCGTTTACAGACACTAAACGTTATTCTATATCGCGATTAGAACAAAGCACAAGAATAAAACACTTACAGTTCAGCTCGCTCCTCGAAGTGAAAATAAACCAGCACTTGTTCTGAGGTAGGTAAATGTCCCAGGATTATTCCTCACAGCCGCGCCAAACGACAGTACATTAATCTGACTAAATAAAGTGTGTTTACAGATTTTGTATGGGCGTTTTACATGTCTCAATGTGTTGCTTCAGGTCATTAGCGTTTGAATAGCGCGCGCTCTCCGTGGGCGTGTCACATTAGGAAAATAATGAGCTGAGAGAACGATAATGAGAATGGGTGACACATCTCTCTTTTTATATAGATTACTAGGGGTGTAACGATACACAAACCTGACGATTCGGTTCATCCCACGGTTTTGAGGTCTCGGTTCGGTTCGGTTCATTTCGGTGGGGTGGGGGGGTTTAGAAAGCTAAAATTGCTTTTATTTTTTATTAAACAGTGCTTTAATGAACAAATTGTGTCCTTGTCTTTAAATTAATTCAATTACAAGTAAACGTTTCTCAAGAATAACAAAATTATCTGCTAATGCTGTAAACTACAGCCCTTACTTGGACATTACTATAACATTAAAGCTTAACAACAGAGCCTAGACTTTTAGCCTAAATGATATAATAATAATCAACACTCAAATAACAAATTGTATGAAAACTGCACATAAGGCAATTTTTGCATTAACATGTTTTTACTCTAATTTGTTATTGTTATATAATAATTTACACAGTTGCTGTTATTTTCATGACAACTATTTTAAACATACATTAAATAATCAAGATATCATAAACAGGTTAAGTAAAATATAATATATAGGCTAATATATAGCATTTATTTAGTGAAAGAGTTAGTAAACCAGCAAGCTGTGGACACTGAATGACTTGCCTGAGGTAAATATAAAGCTATGTGAAAAACTAAGCGTTTTATTGACGTATTTCCGCTGTTGAAACACTGATTGAGTGTTTACACACAGTTATGATGCCTTTCAGTAAGTATACTGTATCTTTCAACATACCTTCGGGTGTCCATTCATGTTTATTCTGTAACTGAGGAAGAGATGATCGCGCTCCGCGCTGCCGCATGCATACAGTGATATCTGTCACGCCACATCTAAGAGCGCCAAAACGGCATTTATTGTTTGCATTTCGTGATCAAATAGACATAATTTGAAAGATTACACCTTGCTTATTATCAAAAGTAACAAAACACTGAGCTTATTGCGATTATATGTGGTTAATGGTGGTTAGGCAATAGCCCTGTATTCGTTGTGTACACATAACACATGAGGTGCAATGAGCCGGGGCTGGGCGGGGCCGCAGGGGGCGGGGCGTGTTCGGTTCGCCATGAGAGTATCGCGATACGTATCGTGGGTGGTGTATCGCGGTTTTTCGGTTCGGTTCAAATATCGTTACACCCCTATAGATTACATAAACAGGGAATATTTATTTTAGTTTTAAATTAGATAATTTAAAAGTACAAACTTAAATGATCATAAACATATATTGCTCATGTCTGGGTGAATAGTATTAGCTGAGTTTTTTTTAAGTTTAGAGACGTGCTCCAGAAAAAAAGTTCACGGACACGGAGAGGCAGAACGCACACCCTGTTTATTTTCTTTATTTTACAAAAGCACAATATTTTATTTCGATTGTAGGTGGGCACATAAAAAAGTAGACATTTAACAGTTTTTTAAAATATGTTTCATAACTCTGTATGACCAGAAATGATGGAGTAGTTTAAGTCTATTTTTCTGCTATGTGAAAAAAATCTGCCAAAATGCACGGGTGCGTTCTTGGTCCCCAGAGGGTTAATCATTAAAATTATATGTATTTTTTTTTACCATCATTCATTAAAAACCATTATATCATCATCACTAGGCACACAGCATTGACACAGCACTTCGTTTTATTTAAATTTAACAACATACAATATAACACATAATATTTATAAAATTATTCATTTAGTCTTTATTCATTAAAATGCATAATATCAGTATTATATCATATGTATACATGCAGTTATAATAGTTATTACAACTCAAGTCTTATCACAACTGGTAAAACCTGAAAGCCAAATAAAGAAAACGTCAGTATTTTTTACTTTCTTTAGACAATATAAAATACCCTTCAATATTACTATTAAATACTATGGTAATGCCGCAAATGAGTCTTACCTGTCGTGACATTCCCTTCTCTATCTTCTCTTATGAAATAACATTTTTATCATAGTAAAATCTACATATCGTTGCCAACAAAAGTATTAAGCATAAAACATGTTGAATATTAGCGAACAGGCTGCCGATTATGTAAATAAGGTGTTTCCTCACAAAAGTGGTTTATTCAGTGTAGTGAAGCCTCTTCTCTATTGACATCATTCATAAAAAACAACCTCTGCTCTCCTTTCCTGTGTACCAGCGTTAGCTTTAGCCATTACGCTTTTTTGGCTAAAGGTTGCAGGCATGTCATCTAGTGGCTTTGGTAGTACTTTTTCAAAGTTCGGGGGTGGGACTTGGGCGCTGAAGATGCTGATTAGTTGAGTTCATGCAGCATTTTGATTGGTTGACTCCCCGCAGCATTTTATTTCAACCACCATTTTCAAAAGTCTGTTGCGGTGCGTGCAGTAAGAGTTGTTTGCTATTCGAATCAACAATAGGCGCTTTCGCACCGGGTAGTTCTAGGAACTTAGTTCTAGGAACTAGTCACCAGGGTGGTTTCCCGAGAACTAATGGTTCCCCTAGTAGGTCCCGCCAGTAGGAACTCTGAAGTGACGTAAGCCGCGCTTGTTGTCGTGACTTTTATTTTGACGGCGCGGCAGACCTTTATTTTGACTCTGCTGAGAACGCCAGCCAGAGCCACACAGTGCTCGCATTCTCAGTGTTCAGTAGTTTACGATCTGTTTAACAGTCCTGTCTAATACATTATTAGATATAACTATTATACATAGAAAGTAGACAGTAATGAAAAGTTATTAGCGTATGCTAGGTGGTTGATGTCCAGTGTTGCTAGCTGAGCAGAAATACATAATCATGTTTTGCTTTGTCCCCTCAAAGTTGCGTTGGATTTTCTCCTCCGCGTAAAGATTAAGGGGCCCATTTATCACTGTTTTCCATGTTCGTGGAGTTCGTTTCTGGAGTAAATATATAGGCTATAGTCTGTGTGTTTACACAGCCTTTTTAAAAATGGTGGCTGCTGGAGATTCACGTGTTCGTTCGGCCAATCAGCTTACACTAACGGCACGGATAGTTCCTATAGTGCAGGTTTAGACCCTACTCTGAAGTGGGAGCTAAATTTGTTCCCCGCAAGAGTTCCTAGAACTAAAATCGTTCCTAGTTCCTGCGGTGCGAACACACCGACATCCGGGTACTTCCGCCAATAGTTCTAGGTTCCTAGGTGTGAAAGCTAATGGACTTTAAAAAATACGACAGATGGGCCGACGACGAGGTTAAGGCTTAATTTAGCTTAAATTCAGAGGATGAAATCCAACGGGAACTGCAAAGTAGCGGGCAGTCCTAGTCACCATTAGTCACCGGACTAATTTGCCTAATCTTCACGTTACTTTAGAACGTGATGCAAACGCAGACAGAAACGGGTCTGGGGGAAAAAAGTTCCTGGGACAAATTGCATGCATTAAAAAAATGCATTAAGTGCATGTTATCTGAAATAAATGTTGCCTGTGTGTTTCAGGCACTACCCTAAAACATCCTTCACCATAGTGGCTGATACACCAGAGAACCTTCGTCTCAAGCAGCAGAGCAAGATGCAGAGTCACGTAAGTGTCCATTCACAAAGCCCGGTCACTTTTTCTCCCTCTCCTATATCCCTTTTTACTTCCAGTTCTCGTCTTTTTTCCGCTCTTGACTCGTGTAACATTCATCCAGTGGGAAAATGTCCGTGCAAGTTTCAGATATAGTGTCTTGAGTAAAGAATGTATCCAATGTTTGGTAGAGAGTTTGTCACATTCAGTTGTTGTTTTAGTAGGGCTGGGTATCGAGTACTTTTAAGGTACGGCCTTGATACTATCGAGTATTGAAACATTGCTTGTCGTTCAGTACCAAATTTTGATACGTAAAGGGTTAATCTCGTACACGTTAGTGACGTATGCGGCATGATTGGCTGTGGCGAGACATCAAGGAAAAACAATAAAATGGGTTTAGTTCTTATATTTGTATAAATTAGGGCTGCACGATTAATTGCAACGAAACCGCAATGCGATTTGCGATTATTTTATGCGCAGCTTGTCAGTGCAGTGCGGCTGATCGGTAGTAAATGCTGCTTCATCTGAACGCCAGAGGGCACTCTCACGCAGACACGTCTAATGTGCCCCGCCGCAGAAGTACATCATTTCAGTAAATCCCTATCGGGCATCATCGCTGTAGCTGAATAAACGGATTTAAACCCTTAGAATAAGGCAGTCGTGTATTTATAAGTCATGTTTAATCAACAATCAGTGTAAGAAGCCACATCATCTAACAGAAGGATGCTCAACTGTTGTTATGAAGTGAGTTTGCAGTAAAGCATGATATTAAATGTTGTCTTTTGTTGGACAGGAGTCTTGAAACATGTTTGAAAAGATGTTTGACGTGTGTTGCTTTTTCAAATGCACACTATAAATGACTCAAACTCACAGTGCTTTCAGATTGAGCAGCGTTTAAGAGCCTCACATCAATGACAAGCTACGCATAAAAAACAATCGCAGCCTTTGTGATTTCAAAATCGCGATAAGCCAAATCGGTTTAAAGTGCGACTAAATGGAAATTGCGATTAATTGTGCAGCCCTAAATTAAATGGTGTATAATTACATTTTTAGAAGATATGAGACGTTTCCTGCTTCCTTTTTTGACATTACTTTAATCCCTCGCCATAGCAAAAACCATTTGAGATATTTTTTGACGCACATTTTAGCGTCTTTAATGTATTTTCATCATGTTGAAAAAGTTTGGTGGGAATAAAATAAACAAATTAAGAGGAGTGGGTAAAAATTCAGCAGCTTCCTGTTGGTCGGAGCTAATGACTGTAAATTAGAAAGTTGTTCGGCCCGATGAGATCTATATGTTTTATATTATTACATGCAAGCATCTTTGATTTATGGACCAAGTTTTCGGACCCCATTCAAGGGGGCACTGTTGAGCCCCCCCTGCCACGCCCGGGTACCAGCTTCAGCCCGGCCCTGATGGCTGCGGGTTCTTATCTGTGTGCAAAGTTTCAAGAGTTTAGAGCAAGTTAAGGGCTCCAAAAGTGCCAGAGAAGCAAAAAATAAAATAAATATAGCTGCGAGCAGCGATGATGGGCCCAAGCCGCTTGCACCGCCACCCCGGTGCCTTTAGGGTAACTGTGCCCGACGGATGCTTGACAAATTTAAACACAATTAAACTTAAACAAGGGTTAAACTCTTGTTACTGTAACAGACACCAAGCCACACACACACACACACACACACACAGAGAGAGAGTGAGACTGATGGAGTGAGGTGGAGGGGAAGGACAGACAGAGAACATTTTAAACAAAAAAAAATAATATCCTAAATGTGACAAAGTAGACTTTGATCATGTTTAAATATACATGCAAATGCCGTGTGCAATAAATGGAAATTTGCTAATTTTAAAACATTGTTTAACAGCAAAAAAAGATTTATCCAACCACATTTATACATAGTATAAAACACTAGATGGCACAATATACCTATTTTTAATAGACACTGTTTCATTTTTTGACATGCCTTTTATCCCTCGCCATAGCAAAACCGTTTGATATATTCAATATTCTTTCACAATTTAGCATATTTAATGTATTTTCATCATGTTGAAAAAGTTTGGTTGGAATAAAATAAACCACTTAAGAGGAGTGGGTAAAAATGTAGAGGCTGATTTTGCAAAACATCCACATTGTTTATGGACCAAGTTAATTTAATTAATAAACTAATTATATAAAACTTTTGTCAATGCACTACAATTAAACTGGTTATATGCCTTTACTTTATTAATAAAACTTATTTAAAAAATACAAGGCGTAAGACATTTATTTTCCTTTTTAATGCAGGCCAAACCACACAGCAGTGAAATGGTTAATCTAGCCCCCCTCCCCCTACACACACACACACACACACACACACACACACACACACACACACACACACACACACACACACACACACACACACACACACACACACAGACAGACACAGACACACACACACACACACACAGACACAGGGACGTAGGCACAGAGAGAGAGAGAAAATGACCATATTCAAACCAAAATATCTGACTTCCTGTTGGTCGGAGCTAATGACTGTAAATTAGAAAGTTTTACGGCTCGATGAGAACAATATACTTACCGAGTTTTGTTACTGTAGAAAAAACTAACTTTTGTCAAAAGCATTTGGAAAGTGACAACACTTCCTACTGCCAATTGGTGGCCCTATAACTTTGACTCACAATAGTTGCACCCATCTGATCGGCCTCTTACCACGAACACACTGCTGAAGTTTCATCAAGATCAGTTAATGTATGCAAAAGTTATAATACTTAGTGTTTCTCTTTTCTCGCTATAAATTTGTTTCCTCGCCATGGCCAAACCGTTCGAGATATCAAAAATCCGTCCGCAATTTAGCATCCTCAATGTCTTGAATTCACGCTGACCGAGTTTGTTGGCAATTGAATGAATTGCCTTGGAGAAGTATTTCAAATTCCAGAGCAAGCGTTCTCCAAACAACCCATAATAGCCGACTTCCTGTTGGGCTGGTGTAAAACTTGACAGAGGGAAAGTTGTTCGGCCCGATGAGATCTATGTGTGTACTGAGTTTCATATTAATTCATGCAAGCATGTTTGATCTATGGACCAAGTTTTCGGACCCCGTTCAAGGGGCCACTGTTGAGCCCCCCTGCCACGCCCGGGTACCAGCTTCAGCCCGGCCCTGATGGCCGTGGGTTCTGACCTGTGTGCAAAGTTTCAAGAGTTTTTGACCACGTTAAGGGCCCCAAAAGCCCCTGAAACCTCGAAAAACATTATAAAAGCAATAGACAAATCCCCCACACCCCACACACATACAGAGACGAAGAGACGCAGAGACAGAGAGAGAGGGAGGGAGAAAATTCTCCTGAAAATCACATTCAAACCAAAATATCTGACTTCCTGTTGTCGGAGCTAATGACTGTAAATTAGAAAGTTGTCCGGCTCGAGGAGAACAATATACATACTGATTTTTGTTACTGTAGGTAAAACTAATACCCCATTTTTGACTAAAGGTGGCGCTACTGAGCCCCTCACCACGCCCGTTTCTGAAACTTTGCACATGTCTACTAGCTAATAAATGTAACGTGTCTGTCGAGTTTCATGCAATTTCTAGCTTGCTAAGAGTCTCAAAAGCATCAAAAAAGAATTATTAAAGTTTGATGCGTTGCCACGGCAAGAGTATTTAAGATATCAATAACCCTTTCACAGGTTTACATCGGCCGTGTGTTTACATTATACACATAAAGTTTTAAGCAAATCGGGTAAAAATCAGAGGGTGATTTCGAAACATTTAGAAAGGGACACACTTCCTGCTGCCTGTTGGTGGTGCTATAACTTTGACACACAATAGTCACATCCATGTGATCGGCCTCTTACAGCGAACACACTGCTGAAGTTTCATTAAGATCAGTCAATGTATGCAGAAGTTATAACACACTTCCTGTTTCTCTTTCCGCGCCTTAATTTCGTTTCCTCGCCACGGCCAAACCGTTCGAGATATCAAAAATCTGCTGGCAATTTTTCATCCTCCAGGTCTTGTCTTCACGCTGACCAAGTTTCGTGGCATTTGGATGAATTCTCTAGGAGAAGTACTTTAAATTCCATTGCATGCGTTTTCCAAACAACCCTCAATAGGCGACTTCCTGTTGGGCTGGGGTAAAAAGTAAGAGTACGAAAGTTGTTCGTCCCGATGAGATCTATATGTGTACCGAGTTTCATATTATTACATGCAAGCGTGTTTGATTTATGGACCAAGTTTTCGGACCCCGTTCAAGGGGGCACTGTTGAGCCCCCCTGCCACGCCCGGGTACCAGCTTCAGCCCGGCCCTGATGGCCGCGGGTTCTGACCCGTGTGCAAAGTTTCAAGAGTTTTCGAGCACGTTAAGAGCCCCAAAAGTGCCCGAATAATCGTAAGAAAAATAATAAAAATATAGCTGCGAGTAGCGATTGCGGGCCCAAGCCGGTGGCACCGCCCCTGTTGCCTTTAGTTAAAATTAAAGGCACCGGGGTGGCGGTGCCACTGGCTTGAGCCCTCCATCGCTGCTCGCAGCTATATATATATATATATACAACCCCAAGTCAGAAAAGGTTGGGACATTTTGTAAAATGCAATAAAATCAAAAATCTGTTATTTGTTCATTCTTTTTAACCTTTTTTTTTTAACTGACAAAAGTACAAAGAAAAGTTTTCCAAAGTTTTCACTGACCAACATAATTGTATTTTGTAAATATGAACACATTTTGATTTTGATGGCTGCAACACACCCCCAAAAAGTTGGGACAGAGACATGTTTACCACTGTGTCACATCCCCTTTCCTTTTAATTACACTTTTTAATCATTTGGGAGTTGAGGATACTAATTGTTGGAGTTTTGCTAGTGGAATATTTGCCCAATCTTGTCTGATACAAGACAGCCGCTCAACAGTCTGTGGTCATCATTGCCTGATTCTCCTTTTCATGATGGGTCATACATTTTCCATAAGAGACATATCTGGACTGCAGTAAACAGGCAGGCACATCCCTTCTATGATGCAGAGT